GGGAAGCTGAGTCTCCTGATTCACAAAGCTGAAGCTAGGTAGTGTGAACATGCCCCAGGGAGCCACATTGCCAAAGCTTTGTTGAGAGAGAGAAGAAAGACCACTTCCCTGCCATTGATGTGGTAATGGCCTCCAGAACACTGAAGTGTGGCTCTGTCAATGACGCACTGATTGCTATCTGAAAGTCAGTCTTCTGGGATATGAATGGAGGCTATTTTGTTCTTCTTCAGTTCATAAATTAGTGCATCTGAGTAGCCAGTGCCTGTGAGCCAGAGAACAGCTCAAGTGGTGCGAAAGCACGGCTTTCTCATGCTTCTGTCTTTGTGCATTGACCATGGGTGAGTGGCCTGCTGCTTTCACAAGAAACCCTGTTCAGAAGTGAGTGTGGGTAAAGTTGGCGTCTTTTATCCGAGTGCCATCTATGTAAGATATCCAGAAGTCAGGATCCCCCTTCTCTCACGGAACAGGTTGTGACCCCTGGTCTGAGCTGGCACTGAGGGTCCCAGCTCCAGTCTCATGCATAAGGGACTTCCCTTCAATGACTTACTAATGATGACATACTACTGCAGCATCTCTCCATATAGTACAAATGATGCTAACTTCAAAACAGAAATCTCGAGCACAAATAAAATGAAGTAACAATGAAACTAACGCAGTAGGATGTTCTAGGGAATCTTTAAATAAAGGTGCCTGCACAGTACCTGCAGCACCGCAGTGAATTTAGAAATGCTGTTGGTGTCCTCCACTGCTTACAGTGGTTTTGTCCTTTCAAAGTCCAGGTTTCTTTTTTCCCTTTTAAAGTTGCTGGCTCTAAAATATTCTACTTGACATTTTATCTACACTAACAGGATTTTTTTTGTTGATTCTGGAAGCACTTGAGAACAGGGGAAATTGGCCAAGACATTCAAAAGTTAAATTAAAATCTGACTCTGCAAATAGCCAGTGTCACTGGTGTGAATAACTTCACTCTCGGGTAAAAGATACTGAGGGAAAGCGGAGAATTGTAGCGGACAGAAATGCAACTTAACACATACAGATAAAAGTAATCTAGGGTTGGCTAGGGTGACTTCCAAAGAAGATATTGGATAGTTGGATCCAAAATTATTGATAACAATGGAGGAATTCCTGATGCCATGGGTTAAGATGAGGACATTCCTAAGGTTGCTTTGCACTGGTTGTTGTGAGCTTTGTAAAGCATTCGGCTGGGTAAGAACAGGATTTACGGGTAGGTAATCTGCAGCAGTCATTTTGGAAAGCTTTAATCATGGGTTATTGTTGGTGTCAGGAGTTTTTGTGTGCACCTATGGATTAAAGAACGTATGATATGTCTAGAATTCAGAGAGGGATATAAACAAGCCTCACGGTATATATAATCTTCTCCTGCTCGGAGGTGCTGCTGATGTTGATCAGAACAACTGTGCCAGTTTCCTCTTGAAAAGTGTTCATTTACTGAAAACAAAATGCATGAAATGTCATCCCTAGTGAAACATTTGTCTCTGCATCTGTGCCCACATCTTCTGGGGCCAAAGTTTCCACATTCTTGCTTCTTGCAAAGCTGTTGCGGTGGAAGCCTTTCCCCTTTATAGCAATGTTGGTTTTTTTCAGTAAAAAACAAACAAAGCTACTTTCCATTTCAGAATGCAAGATGTAATATCTCTGCAGAGATTAACCTTCTTTCCAGAGTTGTTTTTGTGGTTGAAAGAATAAATCTGTTATCATTAAAATAAAAAAAAAAAAAATCTGCACCTCATTATTTCCAGAAATAAAGCTTACATAATGAGATTTATTAAGAATTGACTCTGGGTGAACTGAAGAGAGATCCAACCCCAAAGACTTTGTGTTCTAGAAGAAAGGCAGCAAGACAATAGGGTGGACACAGGGGAAGCTAGAAGAGGGAATTGCTCTGTGATGTTAATAAAAAAATATGTTATTTTTGGGAAGGACACTGAGAAGTGGCTTGGCATTTGTGGCAGGAGCAGTTATTCAAGCCTCCTTCACGTGTTAGGTGCTTGGCTGAGCTCAGTTGCATAAGGCAGAGATGCAAGAGATGCACAAAGTATCAGGACTGGCATGGCCGGGAGGAGAGATTCGGGAGGAAATGTAGAGGGCAAGAAGCATTAACATGATAGCTTATCCTTTCGTGCTCTGCCCCTTCCCTCGGTTCCCTCTTCTGCTTCTCTCCCGTAACTGAGCCCCTGGTTAGCTGCTGGACCTGCGTCCCGCTGACACTGGCTCTTTGCTGTGCCACCAACCTCTTAGGAGCAGCAGTAAAAATATTCCTCCACATATCCATGAGAAGAAATGTGGTTTGGCATTTGGCAGAGTTACAGGGGTGCAGACTTAGTGCTGAGGCAGCAGTTTTTATGAGCCGGCTGGCTTCTCGTGTGTGCTACCTGGGCTGCCAAACTTCCCTGTGGCTTTTCTTCCAAGCCTCCACCCCCTCCTGCACCTCTATGGGGTGGGTCATTCTTTTTTTCTTTCTTGCTTTCTTTTTTTCCTTCCCTTTTACCTTCGGGCCATCAACAGGTTTGTTTCCTGATCTCTGTGCAGGGTGTCTGCTTTGAAGACAACTTCTCACCTTTTAGTTACCGAAAGAATGTGAGGAATGAGGCCCCATGGCCCCAGCCTACCAACCCAGCTGGGCTCTGTTTGTACATGCAGTGGAGAAGGAGCAAGGTGCCTGCAGTCCCTGGGAGCAGACTCTGACCCTGCAAGCACTGCTTGGTGGGCAGCGAAGGAGAGATGGCAGTGGCATGTGTGGAGGGTGGGGATGGACTTTAAGTACGTATCTGAGCATTTCACTACACTGAGAAATACTTGTTGGTAGTGCCAGCAGCAGTATAGCCACGTAGCTACAGATCCTGATCCACCATGCAGAGTTTCAACTTGTTTTAGCAATTAAGTTTTCTTGACAATATTAACTTCTACGGCAGATCCATGAGTAAATCAGTCTGGCAAGAGGAGTGAGTTGCTGATCTGGCTGCAGTGGCTCTGGGATATTTGCAAGCGCAGGTGGGTTGGCTGGGCAGCAGGAGAGGGTTATTCCCACCCCCATGTAGCTGTCGTGACTGTCGGTGTCGTGGTGTTTATATTTCCTCTTACACCTGCATCCGCCAACAGGGTGAACAAGCAAAAGAGCTTTGGTGAATCCAGCTGTGGCAGTGGAGACTGTTATGGGCTCTATTTGTCTGCCCTGCCCCTTGCCAATAGCTGCTCCCTCATGCCGGGGTGGGCAGCGTGCCATGCTCCAGCCACTCTGGCTCACAGCTAGGTATTTGGGCTTAAACCACAGGCAGCCGTGAGTTTGCGCTTGTGCCCCCAGGCTCTGCAGCGTGCCGAGGCGCAGGCGCACGTTCGCTTCCGCCAGAGAACAGCTGGGAAGGGGGAACATCCTAAACTGTTTGCAGGTGCATGTAACGCAGGCTCCTACAGCGACACCTGAGATCGTTGTGTTTGTCCATACGGCTGAAGCAATAATCCAGTTGTCACATCCACAGAGGCCTTGAATAGACACAAAGGGAAGAATTTCTTGCACCCAACCCTAGTTCTTCACAGCTGGAGCAACTGCTCCGGGTTCCTCCTATGATCAGTGGAGGATCATATAAAGCAGGACTTTCAGAGTACATTTTGTACAACCTATTTCTGATGCAGGGTGACACCACTCACACCCTGGACCCCATCCGCAGTGCCGGCTGGGCCCGTGCTGGTAGCACAAGATGTCTGTCCGCACAGTGTGCTGTTGCATGCTGCTGGAGGCGGAACCTGGTGCTCCTGTTTTCACAGTGGTGTGTGCAGATGGGCTGTAGGCTGATGAGCGAGCCTTTTCCTCCCTGTGAACACCAAAGTCTGTCACTCAGGAAAGCTTTGCTGATGTGTCCTACGTGTAACGCATGTGTGACTGGCAATCCTAATTACTCGTCCAAATGCTCCCAAGGCTGGATGAGACCCCATGCTACTGTCTTACCTGGAGAGAGACTAAGCCATCCTATTGCCTCTCCGAGGGCATTAAGTCACAGCATCACTTCAGGGCTAGGTACAGGCACAAAATGGGACTAAACCAATCCAAACTCTTAGCCTTTCCATAATTACCTGCCTAACGAGCCCAAAGACCTTTACTGTCTGGTCAGTCACTGGTTCTGATTTTGCTTAATATAATCAGTATCTGAGCAATAATATGCTAGTCATCAGTCAGGCTAAATGGTATTGTTTTACCCTTGTTTCTCTGCATTGCACCTGCAAAGTGGTGTTCCCTGAACAAATAGCCATGCTGTCCAGGGGACCCAAGTACCCTGATGAGCTCTCAGTTAAAGTATGTGCTCTTCATCTCTTGGCAGAGAAGTGCAGCACTCACTGGGTTTGAACAAAATCACTCCTGCAGTGGGGGGATTCTTCCTCCTTTCTGCACTTGTCCAGGACCCCCTGGAGGATGCTGTCTCCTGAGAGGGGGTAGAAACACCCATGATGGAAATTGCACTGACAGTCTTCCTTCACCCTTGATTCCTCTTTCAGAGTACAGTTGGAGAGAATCGATGGCTTCAAGGGCACCTGATACAGTTACTAATCAGTTACTGTGATTTGAACACAGCGGCAAGATGGGCACAACGCTGCAATTTGCCCAAGGAGATGCTACCTTATGGAGTGGCTGATGAGCTTCAAAAGCTTCAGATCCAAGAGAGGTAAATACTCTGTTTCGTGCTTTTTCAATGTAGATTACTTATCATACAAGGACTACATATTTGCTTAAAATAATCTGCCACAATGCTTCCTTGGGGAGATAATTTTGCAAAAACTTCCTCAATTTACTCAGATTACATGTTGGCCATGTACATGCTACATTTGCTTTCATAAGCCTGGAAATGTCTGTGAAAGGTACATTTTAAACTCACTCCTGAGTACTTAGAAGCTGTATGAGGTTGCTTCAGGCCGCAGAGGGGTCTTCAGACTCCCTCTGCCAGATCAACAGCGCAAATGAAATGATGTGGGTAGGATCTGAATATGCGTCTGTTTTACTGAGTTGATTACATGTCTGTCAAAGTTTTCTATATACTCTGCATCCCCCACTGTACTGTAATCTGGTTTAATGCCTTTTAGGAGACTTACGGCCAAGAAAAGAATTTCAAAGTTCCTTAATTTTTTCTAATTGTATTTATTTTCTTCCTCCTTTGACAGCTCATAAGCCATTTTTCATCCCAGTCTGTAATTTTTGCCTCATCCAAAGCTTTCAGAAGTAATGGGAATTTTTGACATTTGGGGTCAGATGCCAGAAGAGTTGCATTAATTGAATTTGGGTTAAAACCAGACTCTCTGGCACAAATTTACCAAGTGAGCTTAAGAAGCCTTTAGCCCCCTAATTAGCCTCTGTCCCCTTTTCTTCCTCTAATGCAATCCCAATAACACAGTGCCATGGTTCCTCTCCTGCTTTGGGACCCCCATGTTGTATGCAGCAGATTAGCCTGCAGTAGCTGCAGTTCCTCTCCTGATGGGAGCTTCATCCTGTTGCATGACTTGAAACAAGAGTACAAAGGCAGAGGTACAAAAAAAGAATTGAAAAAGCCTTATATTAAGAAGGGTTCTTACAACTCCTTGATTTCAAGTGCACAGAACTGTGCAAACAGCCCCAGTCAAGGATCTCTGTGAACCTGCTGATGTAGGAGGAGCAGAGGGGAAGGATGGAGGGAAGAGGATGGCCAGGTTCCATGCTGTGTGTAGACAAAGCTGTGCGAAGTTGAGAAGAGGCTCAAAATTTAGGAAGGCACACATAGCCACCTTAACTGCTAGGAGCTGTCTGATCCCCACAGCAAGCTAGATCTGGAGGAGTACCAGGGCGTTGTAGTTCTGGTTCTGGGTATTCTGTGCTGGCCCAAGGTCATCCTCTTCATGCAACAATATCCCAGGCAGTTGCTCAGCTATGCTGTGTAGAGGAAGAAGGGCTGTATTTGAAAAAATGACTCAATGCAAATGATTTGCTGAGCCCCAATAACTCACTTTTATACTCACATGAGTGATGGTGTATCTGCCATGCTTCAGTGACTCTGTCCACGAGATGTTTAAGCAAATTATTCAGAGATAGCCATGTTTGACACCCTTTTTTAAACCTTTTTTTTCCCTGCAGAAAAGCCTGCACATATGCAGGCTACTGCAAGTCTTGAGGAACTGCAGAGCTTGCAGATGATACTGCATGAGGGTCCTGTTAGGATCTCACCCAGGACTGCACAGGAGATCTGGAACCTCGGGCTGGATGAGGTCTGGCTGGTAGTCCCATCAACACACAGCCCAGTAGCCACACGTGTTCGTGAGCCAAACTCCTGCAAGGCTTCAGGCTACCACAGTCCTTGGGTTCAGAGTAATTACGCAGTCACCTTGCTGGTCTGCTACAATCAAGCAGCATTTTCTCTGCTCATTCATGTGCAGGAATTCATCTAATTGGATTCTGTGCACACAAGAGGACTTATCCCTGAATGCTCAATGCAAATTCAGGAGAGCTCTGGGCTGTGTGGTTGGAGTGCAGCATAGCTCAAAGCCTTGCTGTCATACAAGGAGGAATCATGTGTTTCCAGGTAGAGTCAAGGCTTTTGTCAAAAACAGAAGAGAGGAAGCAGTGATAATTTTTGGGTTCCTTAGGACTCTTCCATTGTTGTACACATCAGTCACCTTATTGCAGGGTGTTGTGCTTGACTGGACTTGGCACCATTTGCCTGATGTCTCTCTTACCCTCACTGGTGAAATATGTTGGGTTTTTTTTTTTAGCATGGAGATTGGTGTTTCTAGTTCAGAAGCCAGGTGAGATTAGAGGAAAGTTTGTGGGAAAATCTTGACCACTCCTGGGAGGTAACTATTTACAACTTTGTGCAAGCTGATAGCTCATATCTTTAGCATCCTGCAAACATAGCCCTTGAAGCCTGTAATACGAGGGAGTAACTTCCTATATGGAGCTCAACTTCTCAGTGTATATGATGAAAAACTGAATCTGATTTGAAATGGACTGTGTGCCCAGGAGGAGTTGATGAGGACATCGTACATTGCCTGTTTGGGGAGGAATAAAGCCAGCAGAAAGTCAATGAGTCAATGATCCCTGGGTAGCAAGTATTTCGCTTTCAGCGCCGTGCTCTCGGTGTGAGAAGCAGAGGCAGGGTCCCTCTTGGCATGGCTGTTGCACGAGTCTGCATGCCCATGCTCATCTGCTACCTCGCGTGGTCTGGGGCTTTCGCCTGTTGCTGCAGAGCGTGCAGTTGTATGCAGATGATTTGGGTGCTTCCTTTTACCGTATGTTCTTAGCGCAGGACTTTCCTACTGGTGTCATATGTCAGAATAATGAACTCAGCTAACAGTTAGGATCTGTCACTGGCTGCCTGGTTAATGCCAACACCTCACTAGGGGATAAGGAGACCATTTTAAGAAGACCAAGCCTGAGACTGAGCAAGGTTACCTGCTCTGACAGGTTTATCATCAGGTTTGTTGTCTTTAACATTACAGCAAATTTCCATCTCCTGGAAGAGGTGTTTATGCAAAAACTGCAGCTTTCATAACTAAAAATTGTTTTTTTGGAGCATAGATTGGACTAACTTGAATTACGTAGAAGGTGAATAAGAACACGGTGTATTATTATTATTTTTTAATGCTGATGATTTTGGGAGGGTCTCACAGATGGCCTTGAACAGTTCATGTGCTGAGCTTCATGGATCTGATCTTTCTCCTAGTGCAGTCTGCACTAGTTCATATTCGAGCCCCATGTAACCTCAGGAAATGTGACACAGATGTAATCACCCTTGAAACACTGTCTGCAAAGGCCCACTTCTCCAGATGGTACATGGCTTTCTTGGAGCACAGGAAACTCTTGTCTGTCTAGGACATGCTTCTGCTTAGCTCTGATGCATTGCTGGAGCTGCCCTCCTCCTCCCTCCTGAAGCTGCACCAGCCGCCAGTTGGGAGCCAGAAGGTTTTTGCATGAGGTGTAATCCCTTGAAACACAAAGGGGTGGTTAACAGGAGTGTGACTTAGCCACAGATTCTGTGCGTCTAGAAAGATGAAAAACATCACTACGTCTCTCTGCTCTGGGAATCCTGTGTTGTGTATGGGTGGAGTGAAGGCATGCCGATTAGGATGTGCTCTGCCGTTCATGAGGAGTTGTGACAGATGAGTAAAACCCTTTGTGCCCCAGTTTACTCATCCAGTCATGATACCTGCTGCAGTAGCTGCTATAAAATCAGCGGAGCCATGGAACCTAATAAAACAGTCTGTCTGCCTTATTTATTGAGCTAACAAAGCAGCAGGTTCCCAGAGAGGGTGTTCACGCTGTAGAGAACAAGGTGGTACCAGCATATAAATGACATCATCTCTGCCACTGGTCACATCGCATGCAGTTCCTGAATGCTGCAGGTGAGAATATTCCTGGAGACCTGAGACTGCACACCTTCATTAAATATTTTACACAAATATTGACTTCCCCATGCACACAAACCCACGGAAAAGAGTGTTTGTACAGTGAAAGCTGCTATGCCACAGAATTAGTCACACAGTCCCCTAAACATAAGGTTAGTAAATAGTTTCTCAAATAATAAACCATTTCAAGTCTCTGTGGGAAAGAGACTATCCAGAAATTTGTGATATGTCCAAAATAGCTGGATATTTTTTATTAGTTTCTTTTCCTCTGATTGCATCATCTGGCTGAGACACCACAGCAATATGCTGACCTTCCAGTTACAAGGCCATTTCAAGAGACTCTGCTGCATTCTGAAAAGAAAATGTGCTGTGTAAGATCCTGTTGTAGGAAATCAGTTAGCTCATTTCTGCAGGCATCTTCCAACATTCCCAGGGTATTAATACACAGATACTGAATTTCTCTGTGTGGTGCCATCTGAAACCCAAATGGAGGGAGTAGCACAAGCAAGGCACTCGCTCGGTGGGTTCAGCTGGCTGTCTTCCCCTAAATATAGGCTTTGAAACTTCATTTCTGAACTTTTCTCATTTCATACCTGTGCAATGTAGGACAAATGTTCTTGTGCAACCTGTGCAGACATTTTACAGGGAAGGGGATGGAGGAGAAGAAGCTGGATAGCATCAGGGAGCTTCATGAAGCCTTCCCAAGCCATTGCACTATAAAATGATGAGGCAGATTCACCCGTTCCCAGCTGGTAGTGACCTTGGTGTGGAGCAGTCTGAGAGTCTCTTTCTGAGCCAGTTTATGCTGTGGGGAAGTGTGAAGCTCCTGTTTGGACACAGTGCTGGTCAGAGCTGACTTCTCTGTCATGTATTATACCGTGGGAGCTAGCAGACTTTCATGTTAACCTCGAGGGCAAAAAGCAGTAAATCTAAAATGTGTTGTCTCTGAATGTGGAAACAGCTGCCCAACTTTGTCATCCAAGTCGCATCAGTTCTGGGAAAGAGAGCTGAGCATTGAGGACAGAGCTTGGGACTCTGACTCCAGCAAGTGTTTTGGTTTGGGTGTTCTCTGCAGTGGATACAGTGCATGTGCGTGGTGAGGTCTCGGATACAGTGCCATTTCTGCGATAGGAATAAAAAGAGAGGATGAATCAAGATGAAAGAGTCTGCGATTACAGGGAAAATGAGGAGAGAGAGGGTAAGAGAAAGAGTTGAGTGGCATGGGGAAATAGAGGGCCAGGGTGAAATAAGGGGCTTAAGACTTCCTGATGTTCCTCCAGTCCAGGATTCCCTCTCATTGCATGGCTTAAATCTGTTGCATCTGATTCTGTGTAGGGTAGAAGATGCCGCAAAAGCAGATAATTATGAAGAGAGTAAGAAGAAGGACTATTACCAGCTTCCAATTCCACGGGCAAATATTCACTTCCTGCAGACATGGGAGGAGACACTGCAGTGCTGGGAAAAGGTGCTGCAGGTGAGTGTGACTGGTATTTACTTTGCAGGGTCAAGGAGCAGAAACTCCGTAGCAGGCTGGTACGCAGGGTTGTATGTGGGCCACTGCCATCAAATGTCTCCCTCCCCAGGTCGAGAACAGCTGCTTCCTTTAGGCTTGTCTGATCTGGGGAACGTGGTGGGAATTGTTATGCCAGGAAAGGTCCCCGCAGGGGTAACTCAGGTGTGCTGCGAAAGTTACTTGTCTCTGTAGCTGTTTGCACACTAGCAAAGAGATGCAGTTGTTGGAAAGGAAATGCTTGTGTTCTGGACAGGGACTGTCCAGGCTACTTTCAAGCATAGACAGTCTCTAAGTGAAGAAAGCATTTGTCTGCGTTGCAGCCTGGGCAGGTTGTTGGCATTGACATGGAGTGGAGGCCTTCATTCGGCATGGTCGGGAAGCCCCGTGTCTCCCTCCTTCAACTCGCTCTGAAGGATGAGGTGTTCCTGCTTGACTTGCCACGGCTCCTCGAGCAAGCTGAGACGGAGGGTGAGAAGGAGAAGCTTCCCCATTTCATCCAGATGCTCTATTCAGATGCAGCCATCACTAAACTAGGTAACATGCATCTCTTCTCCCCACCTCGGGTCTTTACACAGCTTATTTTGTGTAACTCCTAGATCCTCTTGGGGTTGTCATTCTCTAAATCCACGTATCACAGAACCAGCTTTTGTAGCCCTGGGTATTCAAATACTGCCATGCCAGGAAGCAGGGTGACCAGTGTAACTGGGAATGATAGAAATGTCTCCCCATTTCAGGTCAGACCCAAGATTTTTGATTTAGCCTCACCCCTCGGACTTGGGATTGTCTTAGTTCCATACTAAACCCTGACTTGCACCCAACCTTCAGAGGTCTCAGAAAGTCTGCCATCCAGAGCTTTCTGGATTTGCTGGCCCTGTCCCAAAGCCGCTGTGCCGGACACCAGAGCTCTCTGTCTTACCATACCTGCTTTTAGATTCTGTCTGGAGGCTTTTGACAGGAGTTGTTAAACCCAGAGTTCAAGGGCAAATTCATAATTGCCTTTCACTGACCTAGCAGATTTTAAGTAAGTTGATCTTAAACTCAGCATTTTTCATCCACCTCTTCTCTCCCAATCTTGATCTGCAAGAGTATCTCTTAGGAACAGGAGAGACGGGAGTTTGCCTTGTTCCCTATCTGAACAGTCCTTCCACTAATGTTTATAAATATATTGTCAGCATTTTAAGTCTGAACTAGAAAAAGCTGCGGTGCATTAGCCATGATTTGAGTTTTCCTACCTGTGTGATTTGTGCTCTTTTTTTCTCTAGGTTATGGGATATCTGGAGACCTTAGCAGCCTTGCAGCCACGTGGTCTGCTTTGAAAGGCACGGATAAGCAAGCACAAGGTGTGGTGGACCTACTCACAGTAGACAAACAAGTAAGGATGAACACATGAAGACAGGGAATACTGTGTCTCCTGCGTGTGCTCATAGATAACTGTCATGAATTCACAGCATTGTCTTTTTGTATTCTGTATTGGCAGGGAGATGGCTAAATGAGTAAATAGACCTTTTCCGCTTGTGGTTTTGAGGGTAATGTGATTCTGTAAAGAAAGACAGAAGCATTTGGTTTTCATCAACTAAAAAGTTAGAGCTTGATATACTAATAACTTTTTTCATCGCCTTTATAAAAGCTATGAAAAAGCAATTGAAATGGAGACATAGCTCCATTCAGATAGGACAAAATTTCTGAGCACAAGTCATACGTGAACTCGGTAAGAGTAAATTATTGTAGAAATTCTGATATTCCAAGATCATGCAGTATTGAAGCGGATATTATGGAGTTAATGATTTGTAGAGAACTCGTAATGTTCGTAGGAGGGCTGCTGGTAGATTCAGTACAGGAATTTCTGTTCAGCTGAAGTACAGCTGTCTCTGGGTTTGCACACAGTAGTTTTTATCCGTCTGCAGAAATGTTAAGGGCCACCATTTTAACGGGTAAAATTTAGAGTGTGTTTAAGGCTGTGGGTTGGGGTGAACCCAGATCTTTGGGACTGATAGCTTAACCTGGGAAGTGCTGCAGGGTCTGAAGTACCTGCCGACAGCTATTGCCTCAGTTTAATCTGAGAAATGGCAACTGCAGAAAGGCCGTTGCCCACTGTGTTACAGGAATACTTTTTCTCACTGGAACTAGGAGGAGAAAGGTGCTGAACTACTGCTGCTGTTCTTTTATTGAGTTGGTGCCCAACAGCCTCCAGCATGGCTGAGCACCCTGCAAACCTCTGAGAAGTCACAGTCACAGCCCCACTGCTCTGATGCAATGCTGTACGACAATGCACTTTTTTTCCTTCCCTGGCTATGAAACAGATTTCTTTCCCGCAAGTGTGTTTGTTAAACAAATAACCGGATGCCGTATATATCTAATGCCATCCCAGCCCTTGTCTGAGACAACGGGATTCAATATGCCAGGCAAGAGATAAAAAAGATAGGGTTGCTGCATGGCCCCACCCACTGGAATAGGAGGTGTTGTGGAAGTTGTTTTATAGCCATGTGTTTTATATCTTTTTCTTTCCATCAGCTGCAGAAGAGCTCCATTGACTGGAAGAAGGGTGGCCGGAAGGTCGATGTACCGTCCCCGGAGCAGAGCTACAAGGATAGAGGGTTCAGGCAGCCAGAGAAAGGACTCAGCCTCTTGGTGCAACATGTGCTGGGGAAACCTCTAGATAAAACAGAGCAGCTGTCTAACTGGGAGAAACGGCCTCTCCGGGAGGAACAGATCCTCTATGCAGGTCTGGTCACTGACTCTGGGGCAAGGTGCTACAGATTGTCCGTTACAGGCTGTGTTTGTCTGTTCTGTGTCACCAGGAAAATTGTTAAGTAGCAAACAAAGAAAATGGCTTTGCAGATTAGTTCCTGTTCAGAGAAGCCAGCGCATGTTATGTTTGTCCTTTTGCAGACATGGCTTTAATGGTTGAAGTTTAAACTGTCCAGTGATTCATTATTTCCCTTATGAAAAAATTCCTGTGCTTTGCAGATTTTGTCTGATGAAACATCACCTCAGTGGAAACTCCTCTCAGTAACTGAAAGGAAGAAAGTCCACTTCCTTCTACCTCATTTCACAGCCTTTCTGGGCTGTATTCATTTGTCATAGTGAAGTGCTTGTTAGAGCAGGGTTAAAAATGGGTAGACATGGTGTCAGAAACTGCAGCACAGAATCGGTACTGTGGAGGGACCAGTGTAGTTTATTGCTGATTACCCCAGAGTCAGAAGTCTGGGACTAAATCTTTTCCTGAGGCATCAAAGGACAGTCTACTGAAGCGAACTAGCCCTTTGTTAAATTCAGCTATCCTTGAAGCTGACACAGTTCCCACAAAAGTCAGTCACCAGGACTTGTAAAACTGGCTTGGAGACTTAGACAGTTCCTGCTGCAAGGAACAGAGGCCGCATGGCAGTGTGTGTGGGCAGGTGATTGCAAACAACTCGGTTATTACTTTTTAAGATATTACAACTAATGGGGAAGTTATGTTCCCATAGCTGAGATGCGGTAATAAACCATGGGCAAGCCGCTGCTCGGTAACAATGGGGAGTAAAGTGGGTTGGCTGAAGCTATCTTACGTGGTGGTTTGAACAGGCACACTACAATTGGCATTACGTTAGAGTCAGAGGCAGCAGCGGGCCTGTCACTTTTTGAGCTTCTCTGCCTTGGCTCTTTGTGATCGTGTGTTAGGTTATGATGCTCACTGAATCAGTAAAAAGAGTGCGGGGTATGACATTAGTAAGCTGGAGCTTCACAGGTTGTTTGTGTTCAGTGGCATTTACAAAGGCCAGGGTTCTTCCTTGCATCAGGCAAACCTCTGTTTTACTTTTGAATGAAACCAGTTGAGGCTCATATTCCATTTTTTTCAGCTTCAGATGCATACTGTTTGCTGGAGATCTACGAGAAACTCTGTAAGGATCCAGCAAGCTTTGGTCTGAGTTCAGACCTGACTAAGAGCCTGGTGGGAAAAACAAGCATAAAACCCAGGGCAAAGAAGCAGCTGAATAAACAAGAAGTACCCTCACCTTCTGGACAGGTTTGTAAACATCTTCAAAGAGCTGCATGTTGCTCAAGACCCCTGCAAATCATATGTTGCCTTGTCTCTCAGTCATACTATTAGCTATGCATGGCATGACTGTTTGTAGTCTGTTCTCAGGACTATTGCAGCAAACATCTTCCTCGCTCCTCCCCTTTACTGGTAAGATGTGCTTTCTCCTTTGCATGCCTTGGTTCAGCTTTCCCTGTAATTTTAGGTTCGTTTGTCTTCACAAAATTTTGGTGCAGATCTGTGTGGCAGAATCCAGCTAACCTTGCTGGTAGAAATGTTCCTTCCACATTTCCTCAGTGGTGTGAGTTTGAATTCTGTGGCCTAGGTGTTGCATCAATGAGGTTTCAAAACTGACTTCCTTACTTTTGCTTTTAACTGAGCTTCTACACTTTGGTTTCACATTGGGAATGCCTCCTTTATTGCATCTGGAGTAGACGTCTGCAAAGTTAAAAACAAACATTCGACCAAAAAAGTCTTTCTGCCGATGGCTTGTCTCTGTCTCCCTGCCCACCACCGCACACTCCATGACTGGCCTCCCCTGCAATGTATGTTGTGACAGAGCCTTAAAACTCTGCTGGCCATAACTTGGAGCTGTGCGACTCTGCTTAAGTATCTTGGAATGTGACTGGTCCCTCTCTCTCAGTAATAAAGTTTTAGTTTTAAAATGCAACCATCTGGTTGTTTATGCACCTGTGAAAACATTAGCAGAAAAACAGTTTTGTTTATTAACTGAGAATACTCACTATGGCTGTGTATCCTTCTGAGTAGTCCCAACTGTGCACTTAGCTCCTGAAGTCAATACTACCTTCCATGGTTGGACTGAGATGCTATTGATTGTAGCCACCTTTGCAGGATCTTCCTTATAAAGTGTGTGTAAATGTACAGTATCCCATTAGTCTTAGTCAGGCAGTAGAACACAAAGCTGCTCGGTAGTTTCCTAAGCACTCTGCTTAGGAATATTGTATGTTACAACAGATCTGACTGGCTGCTGCAGAGATGGGAAAAGTAAGTACTTCAGGCTTGAATTACCTTGTGAACTCACGGGTCATCTTTGTGTTCTGTACGGTCAGATTCATTAAGCGAGAAGTAGTTGGTAAAACCTGGACTGGGACTCAAAAAAGCAGACTTTTCCTGACTCTGCATCCTGCATGACTCCAAGCTCTCTTTCCCAGTGTTTCCTGGTCCACTATCTGAAGTGGGGCTAATGACACTATTCTCCTTTATAAGCTTTTTGCTCTCTGCTGGCATGAAACATGAGAAAAAAGCTACATATGACATTGCTGGCCGTTGAATAAACACTAGCTAAGAGCCAGCTGCTGCTCCTTTACATCTGTTTGAACAGAAGCAGCAGCACAGGGTTAGTGTTTTCCAAGTACCTCAACATCGAAGGGTCAGCTTGATCCGTTATCACAGCACTCCGATGTCTCAGGGCACAACTGCATGCAGTAAGGGTCCTTGCAGGAGCCGATGACAGTCCAGTCTACCCAGCGCTGCAGAGCTTTGAGTGCATGTACCAGCTTCTGGGAGGTGCAGCATCACACAGACTGAGCTCTCAGATCTGAGCCTAGTTCACATGGTCAGCCCAGGTGTATCTGCATGGTGTGCCGTAGCATTTCCAGGCCTGAGTCAACTCCTGCAGAGTTAATCTGCAATGCTGCAGTAACTGTCTGGTTCCAAAGACAGCGTAGCCCTGCATAGGTGGTGGCTGTGTGCTTCAGTCATCCCAGCTGCATTCAAGTTCCTGGAGGCAAAGCTGAACATTGGAGGTTCCTTAATAACTTCCCTTCTCCATGAATTTAGCTATTGTACTTCTGGGAGCTTCCCAACGACAAAGTCTCCAACTGCAGGAACTCCCCCAGCAGCAGACATTTGAAATAAAATAAACAGAATTCAGGCACTGCCTATTTTTAAACTTCCGAAGATAACAAAGCTGACGTGGTTGCTTTGTCTACCTGTTTCTCCCTCTGTCTGTCAGATCCCCTTCCCAAATCATAACTTTGGCACATGTATATTAATTGCAGTCTAATTCGATAGGGAAATAGCAGTCTTGAAGGTGTGTTTCTGTGACTTCATGAAAATGAATGTCTGTGTAGAGCATAGAAGGCCAGGCTGGTAATTCTCCAGGGAAAGGCTGCAGATCCCCGGTTTGGGTGGCTAGCTGGCCAGTGAGTGAATGCCCCATTCAGAATTAGCCCCATCATGTGCTGCCTCCTGCCCAAGTGGTAGGTGGGCAATGTAGAAAGGACATGAAGGAGGAACTAGAGGTGTTGCAGAGCATGGGGGAAATTGTAATACAGGTGGTAGGGGACAGTTGAATTTGCCATGGCGGGTGAATGCAGGGAAGCAAAACACAAATGTACTGGAAATCAGCCTTCTGTTCTGCTGCTTACGGATCTCTTGCCTTTCTGTAGCAATGCAAAGGATCCAAAAAGGAGACCTCGTGTCCCCCTGCTCCCATCTCCCCAAAGGAGTTCAGTGTGGTCTGCGATAACATGCTGCAAGGCCTCGGGCGCTATCTTCGCTGCCTTGGAGTAGATGTCCGGATGCTGGAGAATGAGGATGACCATAGGAAAGCTGCTGAGGTTAGTTGGGGGGGGGG